GATAAGTCATTGTTTACATGAAAAGTGAAGTAAGTCTTGTCCTAACTTGGTAATATTATTTTAACCGCAGATTTATATACATAAGAGGCTTAACTGTTAGTTATAATCCTTGGTCTTGAGCTCTGTCCGAAAAACAAATGACTTCTCACTTGTCACACAGTTTGGTTGGCGTTTCCCCCCGGCAACCCTGTTTTCCAGTTGCCTCTGGTCTCCAAGTAGTCAATATTGTGAGCCAGAGAGTCAACCTTGTCGACAAGCAGTTGACACCAGCAAGTTAGACGCCTAATGTTCCTACATACGTACTGAGCGTGTAACAAGAATTTCCCCCATTTCCCCCGTCCGCCGCTTTCCCACCTCCTTGTAGTCATGCCTAACGCTTACTTTATAGTAATATATGCCCCCACCGAACAGGACTTGAGGCGTTATTGGGGCATGGGGCATGGGGCATGGGACATAGACAAGCGCAACGGAAATACGCACACTCACAGGGTTACTACACACTCGTTCCCGGGAGCTCATATCTATCTTTATTCCATGGACTTTTTGTGTATTCGCTTAAGCGACACTTTGACATTGATTGCGCTGTGTGTGCTCGATTCGTGTGTCTACCGGGCCAATGAGCCACTTAGTCAGTCCCGTGAAATGGTTATGGCGGCAAGTGTAGCCAAAAATGTACACAAGTTGTCTGAAATTGAGTTACTTTTTCGCATTCTAAATTTATTACTATTATTACTTGATGTTCTTGGACTAGGTTTAGGTATTTTCTTAAATTTTTAAATATAATATTTTATTAAATTCGTTAAAGCTTTAAATGAATTTATTTTCAAATAATAAATGTTTATAAAATCGAATTGCCAATAATTATTATTTCACAATATATTAAATACGTTGCGAAAAATATTTACGGTACTTATCGGTGTGGAAAAAATAACAATATTTTAAAGAGGATTTTGAATTTATTTTATTGAATTTCCTAGTGCCCCACTTTCACTGCCATTGAAAGTCGAAGTCCTTAAAGTGTGTGTCAGGTCCCAAGTCCTAGAATCTCGATTCTTTGTTTGTTTGCCCATCGCTCTGGCAGACTGTTGCATATTTATCTTTGATGTGACAGCCATTCTGTACCCTTCGACATATCCTGGCTTCCCTTTTCTAGCTTTCTGCTTTCCGGAAGATGACTTTGACCCTGGACTGTCTTCTGTTTGCACAGATTGTGACAATTCCAACGAGATGTTTAATAATGACAGTGAAATATTGAAATGCAGATACTGTGTGTCGGATTTTGTTGGTTTTGTCCTATTTTGCTTATTCATGACATGGCGATGTGTTGCGTTTCGAACGTTTTATGTTCGGCCATCGTGGCGTATGTGCAATGTGCATTTTAATCTGTCATCTATCTGGACAAAACGAAATGAGAACAGCACTCAGCCATTAGCCGGATGAGGCGTCACGGCCTTCCTGCGGCATCCTTGTCTCAATATTGATTGTCGTTGGGCCAGGTCAAATTCAATTACCAGGATCGAGCTGCGTACTCCGGAAGCTCTCCTCTTTGTCTGTCGGTCTCAATGGATTTGCCCTTCTAAAAATAGCCACTAGTCGTTGCCTGGCATCCCGGCGCATTGAGTATTTGGTATTTGGACCTGGCTCACAAGAGGGATATTCATCCTTATCCCTGTGCTGGTGTGTGTGTGTCGTCGGTGTGCGTTCGGTGTGTTGTGGAGGATAACCAGTTTTCAGGTCCCTCGCACATTACGTATACGCAACGGCAGCACATGCATCATTAAAAATTCAGCAAGTGTAAATTAAAAAGAGACATACAAGACGTCGCCATCCTGCACGTAGGTGCATCTCTTTTTTCTTCCCATTACGTCTCTAATATTTTCAATAAGACAACGTGCTGTGTGGTATAAGAATATACATTTGTGGTCAATATAATGGCACTAAACGCCAAATTTCACATATATAAAAAGCTTAGTAATTATATTTATATTGAATTATCTAGAAATGGAATTAAATTAAAGATGTATATTGTGTCCATTATAATGTCTTATCAGTTTAAAAAAAGATTAATAAGTAATAGTATTTTTACCTTTGTTTTAAATATAAGTTAGTTATGGCAAATTTTCCAATTCTTGTTTATTTTGCGTTGAAAGCGTGTCAATAAACTAATCAACAAGTTCGTTAATGAAACCGTACACCGCTTGTTAGCTACATATTAAAAATGATGTTGGAAAAAGAGAACTCCAGTGACCTTTTTATTCAATAGCGCTGTACTGTGAAAAAGGAATCCAAGGCGATGAGCCAGGTGGCAGCGTCAAATGCTTAATTACATTTTCACCGCACGCAGTCTGGCGTCAGTTTTGCACATGCGATGCATCCATCACCGGAACGCAGGATATTGGAGGGAGCGCTGCGGAGGATTCTCATCTTCTAAGCAGCGCCAGCCGAGCGCAATTGATGCTGTGCTGTCATAGATATCGCATGTCTTTAGTCCTCTGTGTCTGCCCGTCAGTCAGCCGTTAAGCGAGTTCGCGGATACACGCATGCACAGAACAAAACGAAGCAGACGGCAATCACATTTATACCTAAAGAAATGAGTGTTGTTTTTTTATTTTCCTGTCTTTAAAATCATATTTAAGCAAGAAATAAAGAAAACAATGCAAGCTGGAGTTTGCAGCTATACCACAAATATAATATATTAGATCGATTTTCCATTAAATTTTTCAAATTTGAAAAGACAGCTTAAGATATTGTCCTTGGTTTTTATTCCAAGAAATGTATTTTCCGATTGTTCTAATGGGTGCTTTCTAATATGGTATTCCGATTTTTATAAAATAAAAACCTGAAATTGTACAAAATCACCATATCTCTTGTATATTCATTTATGCCTAAAAACAGTGTAATTATTATTTTTTTAATTTCATTTGCGACTGATCTGACATGAGTATTACCTACAAAAGAAAGAACACTTTTGGTTAATCCAGATATCTTCAAAAGAAAGAGAGAGTATATTGCATAGTTTGGCTATATCAAATCGTTTAGAATAAACTTTTGACTGAAATTATAATACCCTTGGGTATTAAAATGTAGCAAAACTTAAAATGCTAAATAATTAAAAACTCTAAATAATAGCGTATTTATTTCAAATGAAATACTTTTTTAAGCCAGGAGAACACAATAGGCTTCGATTTTATTTTAAATGCAAAGATTTTGATTTTTTTCTGTGGTTGCCTTATCCCAGGCGTAACTTTATGACATTTTCAATTTTCCATTTGCACCTCTTTTTGCTGAAAAGAGCGCCTTTGTCAGCAATGCCGGAAGGCATCTTAGCGAGTGTGTGTGCGTTTGTGGGGCACACATGAGAAGTCGATAAAACTGTTGGACTTTGCATGCCAGCCTCTCCCAATACACCCCCCTCCCCCCCAACCAACGCCTTGCCAATCAACCATCGCCTTTGTCCTTTTCTGTGCCGCCACAGTAAAACTGTCATTGTCATTTAAATTCCTTTTGACTGTTGCTGTTGCTCACATGCCCACGCAAACAAATACATGGACCGAACTATTCAGAGAAATTAAATTGAACACGAGGCACTGAGCCTGTTGTTTAAACACCGCCATGGAACCTCACTCGACTGCACCCACATGAATGTCAGGAACAGGTGGCTCTGCCGACATCAGGCAGCTAAAAATCTGCGATGGAAAAAGTTGCTCTTTTTAAGCTATTAAATAAAATAAAACAAAATGTAACATAAAAAGTTCAAAACTATCTCAATAAGACCAGATCCCCAAAAAAAAAAACTGAAAGACTATTAAAAGAAGGTAAAATAAACACCAATTAATTAATTTCGTTACCTTCCAATTTAAAAGCATATATTTGTATTTGCACAGAACAAAATGTAAATGAAATGATTGTGACTTCCTATTATATATTTGAGATATTAAATTATTGAAAATAATTGGTAAAAACAGGCCACAAGAGAAAAGCACCACATGAAGTTTATTTACATATATGTCCGTAATGAAATTCTGTTGTTTGCGAAACAGTAAGGAAGAGAATGAATGCAAAAGAGAAAATTGAATGCTATTTTACAAGCTATAAAAAGGTGTTTAAAAGGGCTGTTTAGTACGTACAACAAATGCATAATGAAATATTTTTATGAAGACATTTTTTTCTAGTTGCCCTCCATTAGATTTGTTTTACAATAGATATTTGTACAATGAGTTATCTTAACCTTTTCTATAGAATAAAATTCAACTTTAGAAAACTTAAATTACGAGATAGAGCCAATGTAAATGTAAACAGCCATTTTGGAAAATGGCTTATTACATTTTTAAGTTTTACTCCATTATTCTTATGTTGTATAGACGAAGGACCTAACCATTTAAAATTTAAGGAAAATATGGTTTACTTTGAGCATAAAATAATGAATGCAAATGATTTAATGGTTACATTAAAGCTTATTTTAAAACCTTTAGTAATAAAGGATTGCTTTCAATTTAATTTGCCATTCATTTTGTAAAGGTTAAATTGATTTATTGACACTTTCATTAACTAATTATTTACAATTCATATCGGCTAATGATATGACAATGTGGTTTCGAATGAATTTTCATTAAGTCGGCATTGCAATTGAGTTTTCTCGGGGCTTTAGTTTATTGGTGCTTTCATCTTAATGGATTTTCTGACAAGTTTCTTGCGAACTGTTTGCTAAAGTAATTCGATTTTAATGGTAACACAAACATTGCCACCTTATCCAACACAAATCGTGTGTACACACACGTTTACCCTTGCACACAAGTTGTACTTATATCTAAAATCCAAACCAAGTGCGGAGCGTGTATTACTGTGGCCACCGCAATCCACATAAATGTAGCGTAAAGGGGGATTCCCCCTCGGTGTGTGGGAATGTGTGTGACATGCCGATGTGTTCAATATTCAATTAATCATCTCCTGTATTTATGGCTTATGCAGCACGTTGAGGCTAAAAAACTGGGTCACCACGGATGTTTCGTGATCCTGGCCAGAAGCTGATAGACAACGATTTAATATTATGGTGTGACAAAATTGAAATGATGAAATATTGTTACAAGTCTGGTTGCCAGAGTTTATGCAGATTTTGTAGGGTTTTATAACCGCTTTAGTTATTTTTTTTTTTTCATTTTAGGCGTTAGTGTTAATAATAGTTATAAAATATATTTTTAAAAAATTCCGAACTTTTGGAATGTAATTCATTCTTTGAATTTGTTCTATGTTCTCTATTTTTTAAACAATTTTATTTGATAATCCTGGACTCTGGTTAGCCATAGCAAATAAACGAAAATTGTTAAGAAAAAAATCGAGAAACACAAGCAACTAAATTTTGTAACGAATTTAAGGTATCGATTGCAGCTTCAGCTTTTGCAGCTATTTTGAGTATTTTAATTGGTAGTTTAAGGGAAAAGCAAAAACAGGTAAAGGCTTTGGGCTAAGACAGAACCCACTGGTATATGTGCGCAATTTATGCACTGCGTGGGACGATCCAATTTCAATTTGCATCAACATTAACTTACAGAATATTTATAGAGAACAATTTTATTATTTTGCAGGTATCGATTGGCAAACGGCAGGATGATGCGCATTTCGGCCACAAAGCAGCACAAAATGAAAATCAAATTTTAGGGCAAGCAGCGCCGAGGAGCAACAATAAAGTCCGGAATTAAAAAGTCAGCTGCGGGCATTCGAATTTTGCCCCCTGCGGCCATTTCCCTTTATTTGCATACGTTCGCATCCATAGGATACAAACCGAATCTGGAATTGCAGTGTCCCTTTTGGAAATCGGTGTAGCATGTCAAGTGGACGCAGCGCCCGCCTACCCCGCCACGCCCACCCAGACCGCCAACAACAAGCACAGGGCGGCAGCAGCAGCAGCAGCGGCAGCAGCAGCAGGAGTTGCTGCCGGAGAGCCCAACAGCAACAGCATGTTGCAGTACGGCAGCAGCAGTGCCACAGTGCCGACCACCGCAGCCACAGGGTCTGCAGCATCTGGCCTGGGAATGGGCGTGGTCGGGGGCGGCATGGGCAGCATGGGCGGAGGGATGGGCATGGGCATGGGAATGGGCGTGGTCGGAGGCATGGGCATGGGAATGGGCGGAGGCATGGCCCCGTACAGCCTCCACGGATCCACCATGGGCAGCAGCTGCGAGTCGAGCGTGGAGCGAATCCCAGTGGATACCATCGATGCACTGGGTCCCGAACTGGCCGTGGCCACATCTCAGGTCCTGGAGAATCTTTCCGAAAACGAGCGCAAGATGATCATCGAGGTGCTGAATCGGGACGAGTCGGTGCGGCAGAGAGATGCAACCAGAATGATGTAAGTGATGGCTTATTTTATTAATTAGATATTTTAGCTGCATAAAAGAGTCCTTCGGATGGTGAATTTTGGCATAGTTAGCAAGTTTTCCCTAAAAAAATGTTGATTATACATATTTCATATAAACTTACACTGACAATGTATTCAAATAATAAACGGATCTACAATTTTACCAATAGTAATATGCTTAAATTTAAAAAGTTGCGATTGATATTATTGTAAATGTTAAGATCAAAATAAATTAAGCTTTCAAAATTAAGTTTGACTTCTAAAATCTTTATTTCAAAATAACAATTAATAAAAACATACATTTTTCGTCATACAAATATTAATATTTCCTTTTTTTCTCTAATTGTTGTGTTACAATGTAACTAATAACTTCTCCATGCTTTTCTGTTGCTCAGCGAATCAAGAGTTTGTCTTTTATAATCCTATTTATATGTTGATTGCGTATTCAAATAGTTTTGTAGCAAAGTAACCAATATCGTACCCCAGAATGTATATCAACAGTTCTCACTGATTAGCTTATTTTTTGCTCAGTCAGCATTTTCTTCCACCGAAGGACTCTTTCATCTGTTTTTATCTCCTGTCTCTTGTAATTTTGTAAGTTAAATCGAAACTCGTCCCAGTGCCGAGCTGTTTCACTGCACTTCTGCAACTAACTAAGTCAGGTATTTCCCTCTCCTTAACCTTTTCTCTGCCATTTTCCTGCTTTCTTAATTAAATGTGCCAAGAAGACAGAAGTTTTTTGGCAGACAATGCACTTGCTTTTGCCACTCGAATTGCAGATGCTAATGCACTTGGAACAAGCTTTTTATTGACTGAAAAAACAATCGCATTGCCGAGTGGCTTTTCCCTCAGGAAACGCACGTATCGCACATTTGGAGACCGCAATTTATGGCTCGACATTTTGCGGTGGCACGGCTCCGGGCTGCGGACTCCTTAGTTCTCATCGGATTGGGATATACCCGTATACGTATGGTATGCCAGGGCTTACCTAGAGGCACTCGGGCGACAAATCACGCGCGTCTGCCACTGGCGTTCATCCAGTCATCCAGTCTGTTAGTCCCTGCAAGTTTGCCATTGCCAGCCGGGTGTTCCAAATTGATATGCTCGGAAATTTTTCTCATTTTTGGGGGAAGGCGTCTTTTTGTTACACGAATTTACAGTGCAATTCCGATTGGGAAAGCCTGGAGTTAATGCACTGTTATTCAAATTCTCATCTTTAGAAACGGTTCGAAATATTTCATAAATATATTTGAGTTTATTTAATTTTGAGTTCCATATTTAATATAAATTTATTTTTTTTTTTTTTAAATTTTTTTTTTTTTTTTTTTTTATTTTTTTTTTTTTTTTTTTTTTTTTTTTTTTTTTTTTTTTTTTTTTTTTTTTTTTTTTTTTTTTTTTTTTTTTTTTTTTTTTTTTTTTTTTTTTTTTTTTTTTTTTTTTTTTTTTATTTTTTTTTTTTTTTTTTTTTTTTTTTTTTTTTTTTTTTTTATTTTTTGTTTGGGTGGTTTTTTTTTTTTTTTTTTTTTTTTTTTTTTTATTTTTTTATTTTAATTTTTTTTTTTTTTTTTTTTTTTTTTTTTTTTTTTTTTTTTTTTTTTTTTTTTTTTTTTTTTTTTTTTTTTTTTTTTTTTTTATTTTTTTTTTTTTTTTTTTTTTTTTTTTTTTTTTTTTTTTTTTTTTTTTTTTTTTTTTTTTTTTTTTTTTTTTTTTTTTTTTTTTTTTTTTTTTTTTTTTTTTTTTTTTTTTTTTTTTTTTTTTTTTTTTTTTTTTTTTTTTTATTTTTTTAATTTTTTTTTTTTTTTTTTTTTTTTTTTTTTTTTTTTTTTTTTTTTTTTTTTTTTTTTTTTTTTTTTTTTTTTTTTTTTTTTTTTTTTTTTTTTTTTTTTTTTTTTTTTTTTTTTTTTTTTTATTTTTTAATTTTTTTATTTTTTTTTTTTTTTTTTTTTTTTTTTTTATTTTAATTTTTTAATTTTTTATTTTTTTTTTTTTTTTTTTTTTTTTTTTTTTTTTTTTTTTTTTTTTTTATTTATAATTTTTTTTTTTTTTTTTTTTTTAAATTTTTTTTTTTTTTATTTTTTTGGGGGGGTTTTTTATTTTCGGCTCCCCGTGGTTTTTTTTTTTTTTTTTTTTTGAATAATATGGGGGCTTTACAACTTAAATTAAAAACGTTAAACATAAAGATAAAATCTAGAAAACGTAGGTTATTTAAACGTTATTAACATTCAGGCAGGAGCTACAGCAAATCCAAACACAACAGAGTATAGTGTAAGAAAGAGCTGAAAAGCGGCGGAGGAGTCTGTCTGCCCAGGGAACTTTTACTGTACTTATCAGCATCCCTTTTGGCGAGGAAAGAATTTCTCCATTCAGTTGGATTCCCCCTCTGCATTTCAATTTCTTCGGGCATACACTCGAGCGAGTGTTTTTCGTGACCCTGGCGTATTGTTTGTTGTTCTAGTTCCAGGGCTTTTCCACCCGCTTTTAATGCGTCGTTAGCCGAGAGGGAAGTGAACAGGTGGGGAAAGGTGGACGGATCCGAGTTTTATGCTGCATTGGCATTCAAATAACTGGAAAGTGTTTTCATTGTCACGCCGTCGCTGCCACAAAATGGAAAGCAATTTTATTGTCCTCTTTTTCTCTTGTGCGGCATTCGTTGACAGTACTCGTACACGTTTTCGCTTTTAGACAATTATTTTTAAGGCCTACCAATCGATACAATGCCTTTGGTTCTCCATGACTACAATTTAAGCCTTAAAGCATTTTCACTGCTACAAAATAAAAGAATTTTAAAAAGCTTTTGGAAATATAATAAAAAAGATTGATTTATTGGAAAAACAATTTATTTTTTATTAAAAAGAGATGATATGTGTTTCCTCTTTAAGGAGTAATCATTTAAATGTCATTTTCACAAAAAGAACGATTGCTTAATAAAATGGACTGGGATATGACTTTCGCTGGTGCATAATTAATTAATTTTATGATGTATTACGCAATGCAATCACAGCAAAGGCACTAAAATTTATGAGGGCCATTAATGACCGGGCGTGCTTCGGCGACTTATATTGTATATGAGTACTTGTTCCTTTTACCAACATAGTACACTTTAATGACGGTTTTTTGCGGCCAACATATAAACATATAAACGATCCCTTTGGCCTTGCCGGCTCAAGTAATCTAAACACATAAATCCCTTCCGCCGGCAACAAAGTTGGGTCCCCATTCGATGCCTTCCGTTGGCTTGGCTCATTTGGCGGGTGTTGCGCCTTTCAGTCGCCTCTGATTGCTTAATCATGTCGGCCACCGTTGGGTCGGAAATAGCTAAATTGAAAAGCGCCATTGGAGATTGGCAACAGGCGAAAGGAAGGTCCTGTCGACCAGTGGGTCACATGTGTCAGGTCCTGCGATGTCCTCCCTCTATAGTTTTTAACCGTGGGTGGACATCGATCCAGCTGGTCCAACAATTGATGAAAGCATTGCCATTAAGTCGGCTGAGACTTGTGTTCTTTTCAAATGTAAAATGCCATGAGTGAATGCTCCTGACATTATAATTTTATAACCATTTATCACTATAATATACTTTTTTCGAGCAGTAAGCTTTTATTAAAGCCCAGAAAAGCACACAATATAGGAGGATAAGAAGTTTTTATCCTAGTAGAATATTTTAAAAAATGGTTTGGTCCATTTCATACTTAATGATAATATTGAACCTTTACTAGTTAAATTATAAATCCCTATAAATATAAATTTTTACCTATAATTCTAATACGATTCGCCGCTGCTACTTGATTAGGATAATAATCCTGGAAGTGTTCATAGATGCACCATGAGGAAAAGTGCCCGCGACCACTGAGCAATCAATCTGAGAACCGTGTGGCTTCTAAGTAGTAAGCGTAAGAATCAATGTGTGCTATTAGACCGATTATATCCGCTCCCCAGATGGCCGTCTATCTAGCCTTCTCAGCTTCTTCGCCTTAGACAATTTCATTTCCTTTCCGCCGCTGCAAAACTCGTGAGATATCCTTGGCAACCTGCGAGTGCAGTTGAGCGCATAATGAGCTCTGTAAAGAGGTAAAGTGGCTGGCTCTTCAAAAGGCTTGTCTTTGCTCTCAGTTTGTGGCTAACTTTAAAGTTTATTTAATCCTACCTGTAAGTAAATATTCACTATATCAATAAAGGATTTATATTTCAAGATTTAAAGACTTTATGGGTTACTAAAGGTTTATTTAATCCTATCTTTAACTATCTTTTTACTTAATAACAATATAATCTATAATTAAGGAATTTAAACAAAGCCGTTTTAAGACTAATGCAATTTTATAATTTACTATTCCTAATTTATAATTAACGTTCTCGTTAAACAGTATTTGCAAGCTTAGTGCGGAAAATTATTGTTCAAAATGTTCATCCCGAGAATTCCCTTTAAATTTAAATTTATTGTGAAATTTAAATGTTGTGCGCAGCCATTGGACTCGAGTTGGCAGCAACAACACACTTACTTCATTTCCGCTAACAAACACAGGCGTCCATAGAGCAAATACAAGCGTACATCGACACAAACGAAGGGGGCGGTGGAATGAGGGGGCGGGAAATACACATTCATCTAGCTAATAACACTGATAATGTTGGTAATACTTGTTGAGTAAATTAAATCTAATGGAGCGCTCGTTCATCATTCGCCGGCAGAGGGAACTTAATTAAATGTTTTCCCAACAAATGTTTGCCGCATTAGGCGCCCTCAATATCCAACAAGAAAGCCACACAGAAAAACTAGTAATAGAAACAGTATATGGTTATCTGTATAAATATATAAAAATATTCGTTTGCGCAAACAAAATTCCACATTTTTTTCACTCCAGTTTTTTATTTATTTTGAGAGTGTTTGTTTTATATTCCTCTATTATAAAAAAAAACAACAAAATGTATGAATCAGATACTCTTACTAACATTAGAACGAAACCCAAATTCCTTCTGATACATCGTTTGGATTAATTTGAATTACTCGGATTAAACCTATCAAAAGGAAGGCAAGTCAGCATAAAATTATTTATTTATTCTCTTCTGTGTGCACCGCAAAAAGTTTCGAGGTTTTTATACCCTTGCAGAGGGTATTATAATTTCAGTCAAAAGTTTGCAACGCAGTGAAGGAGACATTTCCGACCCTATAAAGTATATATATTCTTGATCAGCATCACCATAGCAATTTCTTTTTGTCTTTTTTTCCTTCTTTCTGTCCGTCCGTCTGTCCGTCATCTACGTCCGTCCGTTTCTACGCAAACTAGTCCCTCAGCTATCTGCTTAAAACTTTCCCAAAAGTTGTCTTTCTATTGCAGGTAGTATATAAGTCGGAACGAGTCTTATTTTTGGCCAATCAATGCGACCTACCAAATTTCATAAGGATCGGCCGATTATATCCTATAGCTGCCATATAACTGAACGATTGGAAATGCCATAACTTTGGTGTTTTTAAAGTTAGGAAGTTGAGACTTTTTATGAGTATTAAGAATACACCATATGAATAATTTTGAAGAATATAATTTACAGAATATTCTGCAAGGGTATATCAACTTCGGCCCCGTCCGAAGTTAGCTTTCCTTTCTTGTTTGTGATGAAAATAAACTTTTATCTTAATAAGTTTGTGGGATTTGTATGGTTTTCGTGATAGGCGGACGAAGGCTGGTCATGTCAGATACAGCAAAAATATTTTGTTATTTTATGTGTTTATATTTATAATTAAGAAAGTCACTGATTTTTCTATGTGTAGAAAGACAGAGTCTCAGGGCCGTGGGCAAAACTACTTTAACTTGTTGCGCCGCAGCATTTCTGGATTTTTGCCTTTTGACGTTACTTAGCCTTGGCTTTGTGCTCTGTGTTCTGGCCTTTGCATTTGCCTTGATAATGTCGTTGATTACTTTTAATTATAATTTCGCTGCTAGGCTACGCAAGCGAATCACTGCTCATCTGCCGGGAATATCCACTTCCACTTTCCGGCGATGGCCATCAAAAATGAACTGAAAACTTTTGCCCAGTCAGCTGAAGAGCCTGTGAAAGCCGTCAGTTTCCATGGCTCCACACTTTTATTACACCTGGCTTTATACTGGCTTTGTCATCAGCCGACTTAATTGGCCGCTTAACGCCCACTCATCGTCTGGGATCGGCTCATTAGGTGACACCGGGTCTGCTGCTCGACCCCGATGACCCCAAGTGCTGGTGGGTTCTGGGTGCTCGTCTTGGATTTCATTTCATCGGATACTTGTATCCTGCAGCATCTGCAATTTACATGTAAATTAGAGCGTAGGGTCTCGCGGCATTTCATCTTGTAATTAACGCCACACATGCCATGTGTTTTGCCCCGGAATTTTAACAAACATAAAACAATGGCTACGGGCCAGTAAATATTCCCAAGGCGCCAAACAGCATGGCCAGCAATAATTAAATACACTTTTAAATGCTATCCAACAATTATGATATTTGTCAGTGCCGCATGTCAACTATTACTCCTCATTGTTGTAACTGCACTCCAAATTCCACTGCACTCGGGGGCATGTGAAAATGTTTTCTGCGCGAATTCACACGTTACTGGACGGAAAAGCGTGAAAGTGTACTGGCATGCTGGCGGATATTGGACACTCTGCGAATACAAAACACAAAAAGAACTTTTTGTCGAAACTATTAAAATCGCTTTAAAAACTTTGTTTCATTTTCATTTTACCCCATGCTTTATGTGCAATTTGAATAACAACAATATCAGTTTATTTATCCTGCTTTTTGAAGAGGTTTATCGCAATCGGTTTTTAATTTTCGATGGCTTAATGGTATTAGATACATTTTCCCCTGCCTTGCTTTATTCATGATAACTTTCATTGGGGTAATATAATTTAATAACAAACGGAATGCAAATATTTTTGCTATCATGGTCAGTTTTATCAGAATATTTGTGTATTTATTAATACGATAAACTCAATTATTTACGCAAACAAGAAGCTTTAAAAGCTTTGAGACTTGGCATGTTTTGTATAATAATAAAGTTATGAAGAGAAAATCATTGAAAAGTATAAACCATTTTATTTGCTTACATTTTCTGCAAGAAAGTAGGGATTTCAAACACAAAATTCAAGCGAATAAAATGACCACTTGATATTGATTTCAAATAGTAAAACAGTGAATGGATTACAAATCAAAATATGAGCTTTGTCATTAAAACAATAATGCGATAAAAAAATAATAAAAATAAACCCTTAAAATGTAATATTGCTTATGTATGTCCAATGGATCCTTGCATACAAACCTAAAATAGGGTACTTCATGAGTGACTTTTTGTTTTTTATGATACTAATGCGAATGTTAAATACAAGAAATATGGAATTCTTTCTTCCCACCCACGTATAATTCACTTTCGCCAGACTTCTCACACGAATATTTTAGCGCATGTACCCTCGACGGGATTAAATTGCCGACAGGCAGTGTATAAATATGCACCTAAATGCATCCAGTTTGGGAAATATTCGCAGTTCACGCGAACCGGGCCCAAAACCAAAGAAGAGTGAGAACGAGAACAATGCGCCTTTCCGAGTGGCTTTCTCATACGTAATTAAACTGATAGCGGGCGACGTCGCCGCCGAGCATTCAGCCTAATGATAATGCGAGAAGGGCGCCTCAGGTAGCAGCCGAGTATCTGAGTAACCGAGTATCTCAGTATCTGAGTAACCGAGTATCTCAGTATCTGAGTAATCGAGTATCTCGGTGCCTGGGTATCTCAGAGAGAGCCGCTTTCAACCTGTTGCTTTCAACCGCTGGCCGCGCTTCAATCTGGAATCCCGCCGATCGGCGACTTGGCAAACAGACTTCAGTCAACGAACGCGTCTCGATCCGAACGAACGTCGTTCCGATCCGCTGGTACAACAAAAAAGATACACCTATCCGGAGACTGTGTGCGTGTGTATCTGTATCCGTGAGTGCGATGAGATTGCCGGTTTAAGATTTGTGTATTTCTACCTGTGCCCCAGAAGTGCCTCAGTGTCTTTTATTCGGTCTGATATCAGAATTATACACACCAATACGAAACGTATCTGGCAGACACCGCACGCAGCCCCTTAAATCGCTATCGAACGGCGGTGTATGCAAAGTAGCAGCAACGAAAGCAACGAACCCAGCGAACTCCGAAAACGAATTGGATAATTTCTTTGCCAAACAACCCAGAATTTGGCGGATTGCCAAAGTTTGCCCAAGCAATTTCTACGAACGACAAGCGGCCAGGCACTATATGCGAAAGTATCCTGCAACCAGTAAGGTAAAGAATAGAGTTATAAAACAAATAAGGTATTATTGCTTTGAGAATGCTAATATCAAATAGTATAGATTTTCAAATACAGTTTTTGGAATAAAGTTCGAGACTTAAGGTTGTTTAGGTTCTGATCAGTTATTTAAATTTATTAATTTAGCTTTTAGAAAGACCAGTGCGTCATAAAATCTGAATCATTGTGGTCACTGATAAAACTTTAAAAACGTTATATATACAATTTTTTGTGTTTCGAGATCAATATATAGTTTTTTTTTATCTGCACACATCAACATGAGCACTCGCTCTCTTTTTGGTTGTACAAGCGACTGTAATTGCTTCTCTGCAATTTAAAGAAGAAGCTTGCACAGGAGGAATCCGCAGCCGGCACTGATTATTTTAACGGTTTTTAAATTTAATTAAGCCGCGGAGTCAAAGAACAAAGAAGCTGCATCACCGCAAAGGTAAAAGATACTTTAACTGCCTCCTTGTTTTCCCCCTGACAATTCGTTTCCAATGTTCCTGTATCTGTGTCTCTCGAGGGGCACAGTTTATACACACAGCTAACGCGTGTGTGGATGCATATGCACCCACTCCGCCCGGAGAACTTGTATCTTTCAGATACTTTCGGTCGACTCTCATGCCTCTCTGCTGTTGTTTTTATTTTACCCAACCAGCTCGCGTCTTGTTTACCTTTCCTTGCTGCAAGCTCAGCTTAATTCTTATGCACGTCTCGGGCTTTTTGATGTTTGCATTGCCGCCGTGACATCGCCGAAGATTCCCGGCCATTACCAAGTTCAAGACAGATACATTTGGAACTGGAACTCGATTCGCAACGCGACCATGGCGATGAGGGAATTACGAGTTTGAGGGGCAATAACATTCGTTGGCAACTCGGGCTCGGCATGACTAATTCGCAGCAGCAACAATGACAAATAGCACAGGTATCTGTTAGATACAGCAGTGTATCTTGTAGGTGTAAAGAGATTTGAGGGCGTTCTCGAACAATGGTTGTCAATGTTGTCAATGATAAAGAGACTCTAACACTCGCCCTCTAAAAATCACACAAAAAGGAAGTAGAAATCAGGTTCACTCTGAGCTTTGTTTCCCAGGCTTTTAATATTTGTCCGTCTAATATTAATAATGCGATAAGGTAGGACGGGAGTGGCTTCAAAAACTCATAAAATAATAAACATTATGCATTTATTAAAGCCATGACCCTCAATTTCAAAGACTCACCTATTTGAAATATGAAGCAGATAAATGATAAATGTGAATGTTGGATACATCAAGGTATCTTTTAGATGTGAAGACGTTTGAGGGCGTTTTTTTTAACAATAGGCATCAATTATGGTTGTCAATAAAAGAACTGAAAAATACACCACACACCTTTTAACTTTCTTATTTAAACCTTAAATGGTATTAAAGTTTATATCATTTATTGTTATATCCAATGTATATTATATCCATTTGTATTTTAATTTGGTCTTATATTTATCAAACGTTTATAATCCGTATAAATAAATACTCTATAATGGGATACCAATAAAGGTGTTTGCGAAATCACATTAATACTCATTAAAGTAAATAATCACTATTCAAGATAAGCATATTGTACAAGCTCTTGTCAAAGACAATAAAGTTTCTCGTAGGTGTTAAGTGGGTGTGTTAAACTTTTATAAGATCAGGTTGAATAAGACCAACTTAAGACCAAACAGATAAGCATATACACAGTTCATATTAAATAAATAATGTTCTGGGTAATCAAAAGGTGTTTTAAACCATTTCAGACACTTAATAATACAAATACGGACTCTTTAAAAGGCTATGACACTTAATCTTGAAGATATGTAAATGCACTTGGTATTCCTCCCACACTCAAATCACATTTGTTGACAGTTTTCAGCAGACACGTTTAACCAGATTTTGTGTCACCTGTGTGGAAAAGTTTCTCTCTCAAAATAAGATGTACCCCGTATCTCTGTGTCTGTCAGCAGCCAGATGAGTTTAATTAGCACTTTGCTGCATGGCCATAACAAATTTAAAAAAATTCTTGACTTTCGACTTGACACTGATTTTTCTGAAATGGTAATGTCTTTTTTATATGCTAGTTTCGGGAATGACGATCAACGTACGTTCGCTTTTGTCTTTCCACGGCGGCGATAAGGTTGAAATGAGCTAAGTTGCGAGCGCTTATCAGATGTGCCGTAAAAATAAAGCACACTTGCTGACTTATTTATGTGCCCAAGATCCAAATATTTGGTCATTATGTCATGTGTATGCCGTCGGATTGGGGTTTAGTGGCTCGACAGTTTTCGAGATACGCTGGGGTGCATTGACCAGGGTTGGAGCCGTGAACTCTGTCAGTTGCAAGAGATAATTGGAGATTTTCTTTCAACTCTGACTTTGGGCCAACTCCGGGCCATGCCTTTCCCCTCATTAATCATTCATAAATATTCATTCCAGGCCACGCCTCCTTTCGTCGGCCTCGAGCATTTATCATTATCATTTCGCCGGCTTCCTGAATTTTCCATCTTGTTTGCTTGTCGGCCTTTTTCTATTTCCGCTGCAAACATGAAATATCTTTCAGAAGTTGTGTTGAATATTTTTCCTGCCGCACAAACTTATTATAATTTATGCAAAAAACGGTGACAGTTATTGAGTTTAATAACGATATTTTTCTTTCTTTTCGGTCTGTTGTATTTGCATTTTTATCGAAACGAAAACAGCTGCCTCAACAGAGAAAAATAAATTTATGTGAGACATTTCTGGAATTGGGCTTGGGCTTGGGTTGAGCTTTTGGCCAGTTAGATCTCTGGCCAGTGATAAACCCACATCAGAATAAACTAGTTGCGAAAAACTGTAATCAAGCCAAATGCAAATCGGGTTAACTGTGCTTTAACGAGTGTCATCAAAAGTAAACTTAAATGATGATAGTTCACAAGATAATGTGATGAAAGTAAGGGTGTAAAAATGGGTGAAAGGTTTGTCCAATAATAAGGTACCCTTGAGTAGCTACTTGTTTTCAATTTTTTAATTTCCAAACCAAATTAGCCACGACTTATCCATTATAATCCGCCGGATCCGATAGTGCAATTATCGGATAGACATGCCAGAATAATTATAGGCAAATTAACGCTCTGCCTTTGGTCACAGAACCCAAATTGGTCAAATCACATTAAGCAGCGCAATTAAGCCGACCGACAGTAGGAAAAAAATTAAACAAAAGCCGAAACAAAAATCTGGCCAAAACAAGTCTGTCAATGGTTGCCGGCGACTTTGTTTTGTTTTCGCGTTGTTTATGCCTGACAAATTCAATGGCCAAAATGGCTGTGAAACATTTTTGTGAATGTGACGGAAAAATCTGTAAACAAGCGGCAGATTGGGGCTGTTTTATAAAAACCATAGATACGTTTGTACACACCTGGGGCTAGAAAAATATCAGTTAAGACGAATTATACAAAAAAAAGTAACTTTAATAATCTACCTATTTTAATTCAAGTATTTTTTCAGTATTCATTGAATGTTTTTACCTTAAATATTTGACAGCTAAGTAAGAGATATAACGGTTTAAAAAGTATTTCAATCAATGAGATTTAATATTATATCGTGTATTTAGAAACAAAAGAAAATTTCTTTTCCATTCTTAAGAAAAAAAATTGTCTAGAAGTTACAGCGAAAGTTTTGTATCACCACTGTACTTTTTTGTATCTAAAAGTATGCCCACATCGATGATTCAGAAGGCGGTCAACGGAAATGCAATTGAGAACTGTAAGACTTCCAATGAACTTTGAAAAAAAGTGAATCAGAATCTTTAAAATCGATTGAGTAAATAAAATAAGAAGTGTGTTAAAAGTCTTTTCCTGCTGTCTTTTCCCGCCCTTTGTTTTTGTTTAAGTCTCAAAAATTGTAACAGTTTTTGGGGCAGTAGCTCTAAAGTAAACCGGAGGTTGAGTTGCTATTGTTTTTCGCAATTGTTGTTATAAACAATATTGTGGTTGCTGGCGTTTTTCTCAATATATTTTTCGTGGCATCAGCTGCCTTGAAGTGGCTGCAATGTGTCGCCGAGGCGATTGAAATTCTTATTGAATGCCAGCTCAAGTCAAGCCAAGTGTGGAGCAGTTTATTTCGTTTTGTTTCGCCAACGCCAACGGTCAACGCTTAAAATGTAAGCCAGATATAATGGCCATAACAATAGCCATAAGCTGGCTAAAATTGAATTGTCTCCATCTGGCGTACGTGAGTGTATCTGGCCGAAGGCAGCTAGCCACAGATGAATAAGCTTTAGCTGCACTTAGCCATTTAATTATTGATTTGCTCACCCAGCGATACAATAAGTATCCAAGGTAAAAGGTCAGAATTAATGGAATTGCAAGGGTTACTTATCTAGAAATTAAAAGTTAAGAAAACGTGACTGGAGCCTTTTTTACTGCATCTTTATTCAGAGCCAGTAGTTTATTTATTAAGCTCCTTATAACAGAAGAAAATGTTGATAAGCTGAATGTACTCTTAAAAGATAAAATAATAATTTTAAATGCACATCAATATAGGAATTATCTAAGGCCAAGAACCAAAAAGTTTTTGTGGTATGTTAAGCAGTCAGCAAAAAACCAAAAATTTATTTAAAATAAATTATGTTTAAACATAAATTTATTTAAGAACTGTTACAAATGTGGTGATATTTCATTCATTTAAGAAAGCCCATTAATGTAACTTTAAGGTAATACTATCAGGGAGTAAGCCATTTTAAAAATAATTTTATTATTATTGTTTATGGTGACATTCCATGGGCAGTGTCTGGGGCGGTCGCATTCGCTGGCTTTGCATTAAAAATAATTGTTTATTTATAGCAGTCGATTGGCTCGAAACCAGTTCGACTCGCAGCGTTAACAGCACACAAACAAATCGCAGCCCAAGGGCTATAATGGAGCGCATATATAAATATAAGCGGCAGCCAGTGCTGATATCATCTTTGGATAATTGCACGCAATTTTCACTCGCCGCCCACATGATAATCACGAGGTACCAGCTACTTCAAGCGATATCTGTGGGCTGCATTTGCGTGGGCTTCTCGAGTGAGAGACCGCTTATGGATTGGCTTTGCTGATGGCATTTTAAAGCCACCAAAGTAATTTTTATGAGCATCTATTTCCTCCGTTTGTCTTTCGGCGCGGCATTAGTATGCGATGCCACTGCATTTTCCGTGTCAAGCATATGCGTACTGCCTGACAACCTGCCCGATTTCCACCCGCCGTTAGCCAACCTACGAGCCATGTTAACGACGCTGCATTTCCTTCATTTTCCTGAGCATTTCCATTTTCCATTCCCAGCATGGCAGGCAAACAACTAACAACAACCCACTTCTCGGGCCATTTATTGCTTTGTTCTCTGGCTCGCATTCAATGTCTCTGAGCCTGTCTTTCATTGTTCCCTTTTTTGGTCTGCGACGAGCTCGCTGTCTCTGCAGAGAAAAAAAATCATAAAAATTCTAGTAAAATTTAATACTAGTTCGAATATGTTAACAGCAGAACAATAAAATTATACGTTTTGATTTTGTGGAGTAAATGTTTAGTTTTTAAGACGTCCAGCGGTTTCAGGAAAATATTAATGACCAAATCATTAAATATTTTCTTTCAATGTGCCTTTTTCTTTGTTGGCCTGAAACTGATTGTTGTGGCACCAATCCGGTGGAGAAAAGGTTCTTCGGTTTGAGTGACCAACGAAGCAGAATCAGCTCAATTACTCAACTTTTGCAGATCTCGTTTCCAATTTCATTGCAATGCAAACACATTTGCAGCCACACGACGACTCTTATTAGAGTTAGTAACGCTCTTCCAGGTGGAAAAGGTGCAGACATGCTCACACAGGCACACAACTTCACATCTTGGCCGAGTTGAAGATCTGGCCCCAAAAAAGTTTTTGGCATGAACAGTTTTCCAACCAACCTCCTATGACCAGAGTCGAAAAGACAAAACAACCTCACACCATTGGCAGCCTTAACTTGAAACAGAAACTGAGTTGTGGTTATGCTGGTTGCTACTGCAAATCCACGCACTGAGAAATATAATGTTTACTGTCTAAAATAATAAGAAAAAAATAATGAAACCGGAATAGGAAGCAAATCTCTAAAGGCCCTTCATTCTGTAAATATAAAATAATAAATTTTTGATCTTAGATTGCAGATGGTTACCCAATGAAGATAATTTCCTTAAAATATGAAAATTCTTGGATAATTTTGAACCTTAACCATTACCTTCTAGAGTTTTTTTCTCTGCATGCTGAAGTTGCTTCTTTGTGCCAAAGTTATTTTCAGAGAAAGTTTCGGCAGGCCGTCGAGAGCATGTACCGAAATAGTTGCCAAAAAAGTGACTTTGGCAACATTCTTGGGCCTTCTTTGGCTACCGTTATGAAATTTAAGCCAGCCCACGGTAGTCCGCTAATGAATCCAGAAATTGAAAGTAAAAGTTCCGCACGCGTATGTGCCCCGCGCCCAAGTGCACTTACGCTCCATCTGCGTTCGCTCGAATCGTATTATTGTAAGCAAATTTCCAGCTGCAATGTCGGTGGACCGGTTGTTCGAGTACGAAACCTGACCTGCTGCAAAAGCCTGGCCAAAGAATGGGTAAGAAAGTGAATTTCATTTACTATGCCGGCAAAGCCCAGCCGAAGTCCATTTAAGAGCAGCAGCATGGGGCCAAAATTAAGCACATCCTGCCATGTGGGCTGCTAGTGCTCCACTTGTGGTCTAATAATAGTACACCATACAAAATAAAGCAATACTCGAATTGCCACCGGGGTTGGTCTAATAATACACTCTTTAAAGATTATAAGTACAGAGTAGAACCCATACTCTTACCTTTTTAGATGTTCGACGCAAGAATGAAATTATCTTTGTACTTTTTATAAGGAAAAGACTTAAAATATTGACCCAAAAGATGATCTTACCCATTCATTTTTAGAGCATTTAGCCAAAAAATTAGCCAAGGCCAATCTAGATAATTTTGATAATGTGTAAGGTCAGTTTGTTATTTGAGAGCAACCTATAAAATGCATAGATAGCTCAATAAGCTGACCAATGGAAAGGAGTATGTATTTGGGAAACTGGTTATTCACTTCTTCAGGTTAAAGGTATTGATCTCCTCCTCGGTGAGGATGGATTTCTTAAGAGCGGATAGCACTTCGGCCGGCTGCTTGGAGAGCAACTTCATACGTTCCGCGGCCACGAGGTCGTCCTGGTGATGCTGCATATTGTCCACCGCCTGGATGATGTCGCGCACCTCCTGCGCGGCGGCAATCCTGCGTCGCTTGCCCTCCACCACCATATCGGCCATGTCCTTGTAGCACTGGACGTCCAGTTTCCGGGTGTTCTCTCGCTGGGCCACCTGCATTCGGTACTGTCGCTCCCCGAAGCACATGGGATCCTTCGGCTTGACCAGGGCATCCTGCACGGCCTTGTCCCGGAAGAACTTCTGCTCCTCGCGCTGGCTGAGCAGCTGCTCGCGGATCTCCTGTTTCTTGGCCATCTTGGTCCTGGCCTTCTCCAGTACCATCGCGTTCTCCTTGGCCTGGAACTCGCGGATCAGAAGGTTGGTGATCAGTTGATCGCGGGACTCTAGATCGTGCTTGATCTGGCTGAGCTGGAAGCCCAGTCGAGCGGCATTTATGTCCCTAGCCTGGATCTCGTCCAGCTGTCGCTTCCTTGTCTTGGATACAAAGGCCGCCGTTACGGGTCCCAGGGCGTCTAGGACTCCTCTTTCGGGCTTGTTCTTCTGGGCCAGAGCGTAGGCCTCCCGAGTTTGCCGCAGCATGGCTGCCGATTGGTCCAGCGACTCCAGGAGCACCCTGCGCTGCTCCACCTTGTTGATTGCGTCCTTGAGGTTGTCCTGCTCAATCTTGGACTTGCAATCGCTCAGCTCTCGACGTCCCACCTCGATGGCCTGCTTCTGATCCTTTAAGCGCTTGATTCTTGCCTCTGAGATCTGGGTCATAAGGTCACTGCGAAATGCGGCCGCCTTCTGCGCCCGCCGCCTCTTCTCCTCCAGCTGCTCCTGTTCTACGGCACGCTGTTGCGCCAGTGCCTCCTCCCGCTCCCGCTGCCTATCCTCCAGCGATTGCTTGACATTGCTCATGATCTTGGACTTTATCGATAGAGCGGTGTGGGCCTTGGCCACCTCCATCTCCAGATCCCTCAAGTTTGCCACATTAAGGTGGAGCTGGAGGCATCTGCTGGCCTCCACCTGCTGGCGGGCCAACTCGCTCGCCAGGCCGAGGGTAATGTCGCTATCGGTTCGCTCCTGTCCCTGGCGAGGATGCATGTTGTTGTTTCCGCTCGGCGGCCACTTCCTCCACTTGGAACTTGACCAGGCGGAACAGCGAGTTCTCCGCCACCGAGGACTGCGACATCAGGCGGCAGGCATCCTTGTCGATGACACAGTCGTCGCCATTTGGCAGTGGCTTCATGTGGGATAGCATGTTGGGAACCGGCTCCTGGGCGGCGGTGGCGAAGATCGAGACTCCCGGATCGTCCCAGGCGCCGTAGACAACGCGCTCCGCCTCCGAGTGGTGACCATGCATCGTGATTCGGGGCAATTAACCTGTTGTGCGGAACAAGCAAAATCAGTAGTCTTCGAAAAAGAACCAACCGGGAATGGAATTTTCGAACCGGTCTTTTTGTTCGGCTTATCTGTACTTCAAGTATTGTTGTGTGTTACTAACCTAACGAAACGTGCTCACCAACTGAGATTGACAGGCTTTAATCAACGACAGTTTTCGTATGGATAAATAGTCTAAATATTTGACTGTGTTTTACCTTTGCATGGAGGTATTTCAATGTAAAACTCCAATGCCCAATTAAAAAAAAAGCAAATTGCTTTAAAAACCACAAAAAGTTTAAACATAAAACCGATTTTTGTCGGTACTTGGAATTGTATCATGACTGGAAAATGTTGTCTTTATATCCATTAGCTGGGTTTCCCTCAACAGAAAACTTCTGTTACTACCCGTTACGGTAAAAGGGTATATTGTATTCGTAAAAGTAGTAACAGCTAGAAGAGTCCGACCCTATAAAGTATATAATTCTTGATCAGGATCACTAGCCGAGTCGATTAGCCATGTCCGTCTGTCCGTCTGTCCGTCTGTCCGTCGTCCGCGTCTGTCGTCTGTCTGTCTGTCCGTATGAACGCTGAGATCTCGGAAACTAAAAAGCTAGAAGATTGGCATTTTGCATATAGATTTTAGAAGTTCCTACGCAGCGCAAGTTTGTTTCAAAATGGTGCCACGCCCCCTTTAACGCCCACAATCGCTAATATACGATTTTAAAAATTTAAATATTTCGGAAAAGTAAAAATGCAGTTTTATTCTGTTTATCAATACCTATCGAAATGTAGAAGAAATTTTTCAAATCGGACCATTCGTTAAAAAGTTATGCGTGATCAAAGTTTCTATCTCCATCTCCCTCGCACTCCCTTTACCTGAGTAACGGGTATCTGATAGTCGGGGCACCCGACTATAGCGTTCTCTCTTGTTTTAAATTACTTTCTCTCCTCGATTCTCGGAAGGCATAGTAGCTTTATGCAACTGAAGCTTTGAAACATGCACTCGAATGTGGGCCGTCAGAGGTTTTGTGGACTTCCACTGGATTACCATATTTGAGTGGGTTCTGGGCCATGAGGCCAGGAGATCTCTCTGCATGGCCGCATTGGGAGCCACACACTCACCGGGGGGCCAACTTAATGGGGATATGTGCGTCAAAGTAGCTCTCAAGTGCTTTCCGTGGCGAGGGACGTTGGAGCCCTGACTATTGGTTATATGTTCCCCTAAATTTACATACAAATTTGTATTGCAAATCCCATCCCAGCTAAACGATTGAATTTCTAGGCTCATAGGCGTTGCATTCAATAAAAATAATATTTTTTGCATTTTAAATGGGCATTGAGAAAATGGTGTAATTGACTAGCTATCAATGATAAGCTAAACATTTTTTTTCTTTACAAAAAGTAAAAGTAAATAGTCCCTTTTTTCGTATTCATGGTAAGCTTAAAAGAGGTTTTAAGCTGCAGATAAAAACATACTTTTAGCTTAAGGCGAAGATGAAAAAAAAGTGTTTAAGAAAGTACAATTTCTACGTACTCAAGTATTTAAGACAATTCATTTTTAGATAACTATTAAACTAGAAATTTAGTCATACAACATTTTTTTTTTCATAATCATTTAGCTATGGTTAAATGTTGGATACATTTAAAGATCTTTCTTCGAATGCTGGAGTGAACGTTCTAAAGCGATCTGTCGACTATCTTTATCGTCTGGCTTCCATAATTTATATATAGTTATCTAACTGCTGAGCGCTGGTTAAATGCTGCCCTGTCATCGCCGTCTTCATCATCGTCATCGTAATCATCGGAGGCAGAAAACAGCGGAGCTCGCAGACCATCAGTCACTGTCCACGACAGAAGCTTTTTAGAGGAGTCGTCGGCGGCGGAGGATGAGTAGCTCCAGTAGCAGCTGCAGCTTCCAAAGGCACTTTCCTCCACGCATTTGTTGCTTGTCCATGCTTTTTGCCGGCCAGAGTTCGGATAACCTTTCCATTTTCCAACTGTCAACGGCGCAGCGAATGCGATTTGCCAGCAGTTTGTTTTATTTTCCTACCACTTATTTTTTCCTTTTCCCCAGTGGTCGTAATTACGCGTAAAGTTTTGTGCCTGCATTTGAAATTGTACGCAATTTTCCCAAATGTGTCAACGCATGTCGGGCTTTAAAGTTTTGAAAAATGTTAATTTGTTGTCATTGGTAGTGTTGCATTCGGTTTTTACTCTAACCACTGCACCTGCTGTTGAGTTTTTGTTTGTTTGTTTGTAATTCGAATCGAACGCGTCTGGCATTACATGATGATCATTATTGCACATTATGTTGAATGGATGATGGAAAGTGGTGGTCCGTCCCTATGAGACAGCAGAAATGGTGGACTGGACGGACGTTAGAAAGCATTGTTGCTTACCTTAATTGATATAATAAGTATATCTGCCACTCGCACGGAAGTCCAGCATTAAGCCTTTGGCTGGGTCATCGTCAATTAATCAAGCCAACTTCGGGGAGAAACTCGCCTCGTTTGGTTCAACGAACTTTTATGTGGCTTTTCTGTGAAAATGGATCTTTAAAGTATTAAATGTCTTGAATGTAAATGCTATAAACAACTTATTTGTTACCCAGCTAATGTAAATTTCCAGTTGATTTCAAATCAACTTTCGGGAATGCACCCAAAAATGTCAGATTTTACATAAAACACTCATTATTTACTAATTGGGCACAATTTTTGGAACATATTTAAATTCTACAACGTTTATGAGCATTCCTTTATACTTATGCAAAGTAATGAGCACTAGAAATAAGGTGGGTATTATTTCCATCTCTGGTATTCGTTGCCCCTTTGGTATCAACAGATTCGAGGAACTCTTTTCAAGCAAAAACAAGCCTTTCGCAATTTGTTGACCCGGAATGTCTGACAAGTGAGGAATGCACACAATAGAAAAGCGCTTGAATCGCCAGGCACCGTACATATATAGTTGTAATATGGGGCTTCTCGTATTCCACTGGGCAACCGCATGAAAGAAACTTGACCCCTTGGCCCGTGGCACTTGAATGCGGGATTTGTGCAGTTGATTTTATTTTATTTATATACTTTGACTTTGATTCCATTTAAAATTGAAACTTCGCCGTAACTTTAGACGGGCCAATCAATAAATTCAGAAACTCTGCCGGTGACTGGAAAAAAGATGCAAGTCGGTAGCAATATGGAAAAACTTTCAACTGCAAGTGGCAGCCAGCTTAAGACAAAGTTTCAAGTGAAATTTTCATATAATTTCCATACAAACAAACTGACGGTTCAATGGGGGCATGACCTGAGGTCGGCTTAATATTTTATTGAAAATCAAAATATCAATTTGCTGTTCAAGGTAAATATAATGACATTTTACAAAGATTTATTTATGTCAAAAGAGGAATTGTTTTGATATGACTATCTATTTCACTAGGTTTGAAATGAAAGAAACAAAAAAAATGTAATAGAGCTTAAAGTTTGGTAACATGAATATACCAATTATTTGGCAATGCTTTAAAGAATATTCATTGAGCCGATATTTTATTATCGTTCATTTTGAATTTAAAAGAAGCAGCTATATATTGTTCAACTTGTCTTTACTAATCCTACCAAGCAAAAGTTTATGACATTTATGAATAAGTATCATAGCACACAGTTCTTTAGAAAATCTTACTTTGAAAAGGTGAAAGGCGGGAAAAAGGTCAAGAATTATTCAACTTGGTTCAACGTTTAATAAAGCAGAATAGCCAAGCAGATACTCCAGAGTAACCTTCTTTATTGGAAAATCTATGCTTCTAAACACTAAATCTAAATCAGGAATAAACACTTAGGATGGATAGATTTTGGGTGCTTTGTATGCTTCTGTGCCTGTTTCTGGTTCAAGACACAGAATGAATTTTAATTAAATTGTGTTTATAAATAATGGCCTTTCACCCGGGCCCACCACCAAATTGAGTAACATAATTATGCGTGGACTGGCAGTGGCGGTGGCCAAAACCCAGAGTGGGGCGCAAAAAGGCGAACCGAGGCAATCAGTCAAACCCAAAACAGCTATACAAACATGTGGATATTGGGGGCGGAGGAGTTGGGCTGGCGGATGGGTAGCAGCATTTCATCGATATCAAAGTCTCGATGCTTACACCCTTAATCGAATTTAGCGACAATTTCACCGAGTTTCCATTAGCCGGTTGTAATGGATGATTTTCCAATTACCGGTCGCCCTGCCGCTTTGACTTCCCCCTTGTTTTTCATGGGCCACATTGCGTATGGGTAATGGCAGTGGAAACAGCAATCGCGATGCGATGCCAATCACACGCACATTCGTCATCTACACAACCGCCACATTTCTCTCCGCCAAATGCAAATTGACGGGGGCAATGTCAGGGTTTTTGTTTCCTTGTGGCTTTTGCCAAATTGCTCGCTTTCTTTGTAGCCCCAAGTTATGTTGATGTCGCTTCATCGAGCCCAACAGCCACATTTTGGCATTTCCGAATGGCAAATAAAATTGATACACTTTCATTTGTGGTCGCGTGTGTGGGCTTTGGATTGGAATGCACAGGAAAAAATGTAACTTAATTTCGTTTGTTTTTATTTTGGAACTTAAGAAATGCTAGTAAGAACTTGGTCAGTTAGTGTTTTTAATGCAAGTACTGATCAAAAAATATATGATTTAATAGGAGGCAACAGTAACAATATTATTCCATTAAATTCCTCTCAATTTAGATTAAATTCCAAGAGACAGAATACGTTTTTTTTCACTATGTATATGTTGGGACCTGAATGTGGCGTTTGTCATTTCCATCACAATCAATTTTTAATGCCCAGCATTCACCTGACCGAGATCACGAACCCTAGCACGTTCCTCGAGCCACAAGGGGTACGGAAACATGATTTGCCTGTTGCACCGAGTGGCCTTTGCCATCAGAGCGGCGGAATCACATGCTCCGGCATTCTGAGAAGCCTTTGACACAAGCGGGTCAGGTTGTTTTCGACGGGTTTGGTTGGCAGTTGGCCAAACTGTTGCCAGATTGGAAATTGGCCTCAACAGGTGCAGCTTAGAGCTCAATTATGGCTGACAAGGGGGAGATAATTCACTGTTCGACTGCAGACTGACATTGCCATTAATTAAATGCCGATTGA